ATCGACAGAGATCTCTGCCTGTTGCTGACCTTTACTGGCCGGTTATCTGATATTGAGTATTGCTGATCGAAAACAGCTGTTGATGAAGGTGTGCAATTCGTTTGAAGTGCCCCCAATGACGCCCCAAGTCTCTGATTTGTCCATAATAGCACTGGTTTCACACTGAAGTTCAAAATCCGGAGTATTGCTGTTGATTTACACATAGACTTTAGAGCAATGAAAGTTCGCCTTGCTTTCCTCACCCTAGCTTTGATGTTCTCATCAGTTTCGAATGAGAAACAATGGGCTGGGTTTTGTTCGAGTGTGGCGAGGGAATAAAAATTGATGATCAATATTGCACCAGTTAAAGAGGACTGTAGAGAAACTGACAAAGTAAAGATGTACGGTTAAAGCCCTATGTTTCACTCTGAATCCATGCTACATTTTTAGGAGTTAGACACCGTTGTCTATTATCACCAATTTTATTGTTAATTTTGGTGGACTGGATTGTGCGTTAGACTGTGGCGAGTGAGGAGACAGGAATACGCTCGACTACCGATAAAAAAAACTTTAGATGATCTGGATTTCGCAGATAACGTATGTCTAATGTCACATAAACTACAAGACTTGTAGGCGAAAACCAACAAACTGGCTGAAGAGGCAGCGAAGTCAGGATTGACTCCAGGTGAACACAGGGAAGACGAATGTGATGAAAATAACCAACGAACCACAATAACAACAACGAGCATCAATCCCCATTAATGGCAGAGATTTGAAAGAGGTCACTACCTTCACTTATCTGGGAAGCATTGTTTCAACTACAGGCCATCGGAATGGATAAAGATGTCAGAACCAGCCAGTCAGAGTCGGAAAGGCAAAACACACCTTCATCAACCCGAAACCAGTTTGGAAATCTTTTGCACTCAGCATAAGGAACAAGATTTTCATTTCCACTACTAATGTGAATTCGGTTCTTCTATACGGATCAAAAAATTGGCCAGTGTGTCACGAAAAGGATTTCCAACAGGTTGAAGATTTCTATCAACAGCTGCCTTCACTGACTCCATACTGAAGATCAAATGGTTGGCCAGAAAGAATAAGTAACAAGAAACTGTGAAAACAAACCAACAGATGAGAGCCAGTTGCTCAAAAAATATGTAAGAGGAAATGGAGATGGATCGGGTATAACCTGAGGAGACCGTCGAATGACATCACACTAAATGCACGCCATTACTCGAGTAGAATCCCAGTGAGAAGCTACGAGTGGGTTATCAGTACGAGGGTAACATGGAAGAGACCATGACAGGAGGAAATGAGAGATTGTAAAAAATCCTGTTACATGGTGAAGACGACTGCAGAAGGTAGGACAAAGTGGAGATGTGTTGCTGAAGCCCTATGTTCCACTCGGAATTCAAGGGAATAATAATATATTTCAAGTGTTGGTTTGTAGGGATTTAATTGATTGGTTACAGGATTTCATCATGAGCTGACATTAGTTAGAGAACCATTGGAAAATCTGATAGTACTTAACATCTATTTCATTCTAGTTTGGGACTCTTCAAACCCAGGACCTTCTGGTTACAAGGCGAGCTAGCTCGTAGACCATTAAGCCACTGCGACCCGATCCAGTGGCCCATGAATTCTAACTTCTGCCAATTCACGATATAACGCAACCTCTAGCCAATGTCTTCGGCGAGTATTTCTCCTCACACCCGACCTGCTGAACCCTACTGGTTACGACTTCTCACTAGAAACCCAGGTAACTACCTACCTGAATAAGGCCAGTCGCTAGTGAGCATCTCTTTGATATTCAAGTGTTGGTTTTTAGGGATTTCACCATGAGCTGACATTAGTTATAGAACTATTGGAAAACCTGTGAGTACTGGACAGCTATTTCGTCCTAGTTTGGGACCCTTCAGCAGTATGCACCAACCGGATGCTGTTATGTTCATCATCAGCTTCCAAGATAATTATGTAAGTTCCCTAACTAACTCACACAAACACACACACACCCCAACTAACGAAGATTACTTTTCAAATGGTTTATTGCTTCAGTTTTAGACATTAACCACGAGAGAGATTTTCTTATATATTCCTAGTTTATAGAAGCAAAACAGGAATCGACCAATAAGACATTAAAACTTTGTGCATTTTCCACAACACAGCACAACGCAGAAAAGATGCTGCCACTTTTATCATCAATAGTTATTAACCACGTCGTAATTAACACCTACGTGTCAGGACACTATCTTTTATTTGTGTTCAACTTGGCTTTTCTCATATTAAACAATTTTATACATATATGTCCTATAAATCTGACAAGTATGAACACGCGAACACACATCGAATTCTCTGTGTAAAGCTTGTGAAAGTGTACTTGATGATTTCAGAAAAATAGGTCAAATTCTTTCAGTAATTACAGAAAACGAATTCATGATAACTAACTCTGTACTTGAGTTAGTTAGTTAGTTGGTTCGTTAGTTTAGGATAACAAGAACAAGAGGACAAAAGGAAAAAAGAAAAGGCAGTAGATGAATTCAAACACGTAATAATAATTGGTATGTTGGACAGAAATCTCTTATTGATAGAATCATGCAATTCGTTTAATCACTTCATGCTTTTATACTGTTTCACACCCATCTGCATGATTTTTTACAAGTAGTAAATTATACTACTTAAAAAAGAGCTGTGACAAGTAGTACGGTTGATATTGATAGTATTTTTTTAAAACAATTAGTTCCCTTTATGAATTTAGATAAAGCAATAAGACAAAACAATCAGACAAATTACGTCTTCTTATTGCTTTATCTAGATAGTATTTTTAATGGATATTGATTCAGGGTATGTGAAAGAATAGTTAATGAAGCGATTATATTTTAACTGATTTCCGGTCATTTCATTTGTATGAATTTCTCCATTAACATTAGGTAACACCCACTATTATTATTATTATCATATTATTATTTCCTTGGGTTCTGAGTCGAATTTAGGGCTCCAACAGCAAATCTTCGCTTCAGTCTGTTCTCTGTGGGCCTCTTTAGCTGAATCCAAGATGGCTAATAGTCTGTCACCTCGAGCTCGTGCGATCCTCTCCGTGTTACCGCCGAACCAATTGTCAACTAGTCACTTCCCATTTGAGTTCCACTTGATGGACTGGCGCAAAGAGTCATTCGATATTCTCCTCAGAATGTGACCGATCCATTTCCATTCTCTTCGGAATATTTGTTGAGTAATACGCTTTTGTTCGGTCATCGCGCCGCTACAGTTTGTCAATGGTGACCTCTTTTGGTTGGCCATCTGATCTGCGGTAAGGAGCCAACGAAAGAATTTGTTGATAAAAGTCTGCAGTGGTCAGTTCTAAGTGTCTTCGGTTATGTGCTCTCCATATTTGTGACCCTTGTAGAAACACTAACTGACCTAACATTGGATATGGAAATCCAGATTACACTATTTGTGTGGAGTGCAGCGAATTTTCAAACTGAATTCAGATTGATGAATGTCTGTCTTGCCTTGTGGTTCTCGTTTGGGCATCCGCTTCCTTCCTAAATGCCTTTATATGCAGAGATGCTTCCTAGATAAGTTGAGAAAATGACCTCCTTCAGATTTATCCGGATGATGGTGATAAGTGCTTCCTGCTGCTTTTCTTGGTTTGTTGGTAATTTTCGTCACCGTCTTCTTTATGTGGATTTGAAGTCCTGTACTCTCTACCCCGACTTCTTCCAACTTGTTGATTTCCGCTTGCGATTCGTAAAGTTTATGGGACATGAGCCAGAAATTGTCCGACAAATCTATATCTTCTAGAGCTTCCTAATCGATTTAGTGTATTCCTGTCTTCTAACTCCCTGCGCGCAGTCTTCCGCGTAATTCAATCCAACAAAATTAGGAATTTAAGTGTTGGTTTGTAGGGATTTGGTTGGTTTCAGGTGGGTGCGTACTGATGAAGAGTCCCAAACTAGGACGAAACAGCTGTCCAGTACTCCCAGGTTTTCCAGTTGTTCTTTAACTAATGTCGGCTCATGATGAAATCCTGAAAAATTAGGAATATCATTTGTTTTCAGCGGGCGATCCATGAATACAGACTTTCTTTTGTCCAGAGTGTAGTGTCGTCTGAATATACTTTCTCGACTATTTTGTTAAGATACTTAATAAAACTTTGTTCTGTCATATCTTCTCATCGTTATCAAATGGGTGCATATTTTTCTAATGGGTAGCACTGCATTTTTCCCACAGTCTGTCTTTCTTGTAGTCGTTATAACGTGAAGTGAAAATGTCATCAATAAATAAATCTAATATTGATTACTTTCAACTTCTGACATGCAAGATTCAAATCGCTAACTCCTAGCTATTTCGAAACTATACTAAAGTCAAATCATTTGGCCTATTTGACAGATCGGTGACTGGCAGTGGACTCGTCACTGGGCTTACATGCACTCCCCAGCAAGTGATGATGTTCTAACGGAGGCTCGAACTCAGTGCCCTTCATTTCGAACTCCAAGCTGTTAGCCATTAGATAACTTGGGCTACGTGAGGGCCAAGACATTTCACCCCATTCAATGAACAGGAGAATCAAAGACAAGGAGTAGCTGACACCTGTTGTCAAGAAGATGGCTCTTGTGGCCAAAGCAGTCTAGTTGATGACGCTACGGCGTTTGAAACGATGGGTACTAGGTCTGGGCTTCAGCTGGAACACCATCACTCACTGGTGTATAGAGGTGAGTGCAGTTAACAAGTCCCAAATAGGACGAAACATACATTCTGGATTCCACTGTTATTCATCATCCACCAAATTATTTCAAGCTAATCCTCAGATATAGTCGATGCGTCCTGACAAGGAGCCAACATTTCTATCCAATCAATCAACGGGAAAATCAGAATTTAAGTTTGGTTCATTTATGTTATATTTTCCTTTGCAAAACAAACTAAGAGTAACATAGTCGAGGTTACTTACCAACTGAAAAGAGTAGAATGTGAATAAAACAGTAAAATAAGCACTTTTTCTCATTTTTTCTCTTCCCATACAGGTCGTGCATTACGAATACTACGATTAGCAAAACTTCTAAGTTTGTTAAGGCTGCTACGTCTTTCACGCTTAGTTCGTTATATTACTCAATGGGAAGAGGTATGTTAATCTAACAAACGTTTTTATTTGTTTAATTGACATTTTTAATTCATTATTATTATTATTCTCTTGGGTTCCAAGTGATAATAGGGCTTCAACATAATATCATCACTTCGTCATCTTCTCTGGAGTCCTCTTTAGCTGACTCCACGATTGCCCATAAGACTTCATCCACTCTTCACACGATCTCCCCTATATTACCCTTAGACTAAGTTCCAACTAGTCTTCTCACATTCGAATTCTACTCGAGCACTAGCCTGACTAGTTGGGTAACGCGATAGTCTGCTCAGCGTTTGTCCAATCCATCGCCACTTACTTCTGCATATTTATTGAGCAATAGACTGTCTTTTCTTCATAGTCAAGATCAGGTGGCCAGCCAGAGAAAGCAGGAAAAAAAGAAAATCTGACACGTAGCTAACCAGCCAACAGCCTGTACTCCAAGAAGGTATTCACATGATACCCCATGTCAGACCCTGGAGGAGAACAGGAATGTTGAAACAAAGAGTATAGTGTCCAAGAGTGACACAAAGAAGATTACATTCGATGAAAGAGGAAACATGACTGAGAAGTTACCTACATGGAAACAGACCGAAATTATCCTCATACCTAACAAAACCGGCTTCATCAGCTTGTGTTACAGTAAGCTTTTCCAACAAAAGAGGCCTAAATACACAGTACAGCCAACATATTTGGAGCCTCTGTCTTAATTGTGCAAAATATTGTAATGTAAGATGACAGTGATATCTAAAGCACACCGGCTTTGTTTAGAGACAAATAGTTTAGGATCACTAAAGGATATTATTTTTAAAAATGACTGCGTAACAGAGACAGATTTATTAGAGAAATAATCCACCCTGTTGTTTTCATGTTTTATTGACCTCCTTTATTCCCTCACTTCTCTTCTCTTTTTTTCACTGAAGTTCATCAATATTGCAAGTAAATTCATGGGAATATGTAATCTAGTCCTGATCATGTTGATATTAGGCCATTGGAATGCATGCTTACAATTTCTTGTACCAATGTTAATGGATTTCCCTGTAGACAGTTGGGTTAGTAAAGCCCGTTTACAGGTAAGTTAAACATGTTAAGATCATACGCTTAAATTTATTGGTAGCATTAAAGATTTTAATGCCTCAGACAAAGTCATGTTCTCATTATATGTGACCTCGCTATTTACCAATGTACCTCTTATCAAAACTGTCTGCAAATGTGTGATTATATTGATACATATAGTTTAGAAATAGGCCTGCCGACAATCTACCTCAAAGAACTTTTATTGAGATGCACGTTGAATGTTCAGTTCATCTTCAATAATGAGACTTTTAGACAGAGAGATGGCATTGTGATGGGATCACTACTGCGTCCCCTGCTGGCTGATTGTTTCGTGGCAAAGCTTGGAAACTCTCAAATTAGTCAAACCATCGATCATTTCGACATTTATAAAAGATACGTAGACGATACTTTGGTTATCTGCGATAATAACGTAATTCTTGATGATGATGTCTTGTTTGCTTTCAACAACTGTCACTCTTCTTTACAATTCATCATAGTAAAGGAATCTTAACTAAGTATACCTTTTCTTGATGTGTGCCTTAATAGAAGTAATGACGGATCTCTCAAAAGATCCATCCACCGGAAACGTACATGGAAAGAAGAACTAACTGATTTTAATAGTTTGGTGTCCATTTCCAGGAAAAGAAACCTAGTTCATTTGCTTTGCTTTAGGATAAGAAACATTTGTAGTTCTGAGTCTGCTGACTCAGAATTTGACTTCCTAAAAACCACGCTCGCAGCAAATGGTTATCCGAACCGATTTATTGACAGTAACACGAAAGGTGAGCAGTCTAAACTGGTCACCGAATGACTTCCAAAGAAAACCTTATTCATGAACTTGGAATTCAAAGGTGATCAAGCTACAGATATGCTCAAAAATCTTCTCTCTAAATCTCTAAAGCAATCAGTAAGACGTTCTTTGTAGCAAAATTACAAATGAAGACCGACAGCTGTAAGTTGTTCTCCATCTCTGTAAAAGATAAGCTCCGCCATCTGGCCGCTTCCATGTCCATCTATCAGCTCACCTGATCCTGGCCGTATCCAGAGAACGATTTCCACATGGATTCGAGAACATATTCCAGCATGGTTTTATAAGAGAGAAAGAAAGTGTGTGCGAATCTTTATTCTAAAACATTTGATCGACTCTTGTCACTCTGCAAACCCTGATAATGATTTTAAGATCATCTACAGAATCCATGATAACTTGCTGGCCGCAATTTCTTCGTTACAGACTTCTAAAGACATCTGAGGCCTTGGCAGTTCATGACTTTAAACTAGACCTTATGTACAAATGAACTATGTACAATCCTTAGAGGGGTAGACATTTACTTATTTATTTTGTTTATTTAGTTATTCTATTTACCTTTCCCTTATTACTACGATTGTTATTATTTTTATCATTATTATTACTATTACTATTCTCACTCTGAACTGTTTCCGCTTGCCCCATTCGTCAATGTAAATACAAAATTATTATTTTTTATTTTTACAATATTGAATTCTATCTTATTGAATTTCACACCATGTTATGTAACACTTTATATTGGCCTACTAATCCTATAATTATGTACCCCTTTCTAAAATCTATACACCTTATGTATTATTCTATATATGACATTGATTGTTTTGCTATTTGACATTTAACTACGATTATAGTCACAAATATTTTAATCGCATTTAATACTACTACTATTATTATTTCATGTATTCACACCTTTGACCTTATTCCCTCACCGGATATAATTTCTTAAAAACCACATATATATACGATTGTACAGCTTGATAAAAAATTCGTTGAAAAGAGTCTCTTTGCTGAATATTGTGTTCTTAATTACATAGGTATCTTACATATTTGGAATCTACTTTAACAACATGGAATACCCCAGATCTTTACCAACCTCATTCAACAACTACACGACAATGCCACTTGTCAGGTGATTCAAAACGAAACACTCAGAGATGTTTTTGAGGAAAAGACCGCAATAAGACAAGCTCACTGCTTACTATAACCCATGATATTTCTATTAATGGTGGACTGGATTGTGCAGGACACCATACGTCGAGGGGAAGTTGAGAGGTTAGGAATACGTTGGACCTATATAAACATTCTAGACGATCTATAGTTTGCAGATGATTTATCCTTAATATCACAAAAACCAGAAGACTTACAGCTGACCACCAACAATCGGAAATAAAACGTAACGGAGGCAGGTCAGTACGGATAAGGATAGGAAAAGCAAAACACATATTCATCACTCTGAAATCTATTTGGAGATCTTCTAAACTCATCACAAAGGACACATTTTGGATTTTCAACACTAAATTCAAGTCAGTTAGTTCTTCTGTGAGGCTTAGAAACTTGACACCTTACGAAAAGAATTTTGAACAGACTTCATGAGACTTTTATCAGCAGCCTACATCGCTGGCTCCATTATGAAAATCAAATGGGTGGAATAAATGTTTTCATTTCTTCGCATTCCCAGCGTAACATAAGGCATCAAGCTAGAGGCTTGAATTTTATGTAGCAATGTTTATTTTTACAAGGTGGGACTTGCTAGCCTCATACCTAATCTTACCTCTTTCCCAACGTTTTATTAGTGGCTGAATAAAGTAAAGGAGTGCATCGGCCGGGAATCAACCTGAAACTAATCTGGAAATCTTCGTCACTCAGCATCAACAATAAAATTCAGACGGATTTTCAATACAAACAGCGTCAAGTCAGTCAGCTCTTATATACGGATCAGAAACTTGGCGGGCAGGTCACAAAGAATATTTCCAACAGGCTATTTCAGAGCTTCATCAACAACTGTCTTCGCTTTTTACTGAAGATCAGATGGCCGGGCTGGAAAGAATCACCAACAACAAACTATAGGAAGGAGTACACAAAACAAGAACCAATGGCTGAACAAATATGCAGGAGAAAGTGGAGATGGATTAGACACTTGCTGAGGAGGCCACTGGATGACATGGCGCGTCAGACCATTGCTCGAGTGGAACCTGAAAGGGAAGCGGCGAGTGGGACGTCAGTGCAAGGGTTACATGGAGGAGATCGTGTGGAGACTATGGACTAACATGGATGCATGTGAAAAGTACAGCAGAAGCAAGACAGAAGTGGCAAGTGGAGACGTGCAGTTGAAGCCCTATGTTCCACTAGGAACCCAAAGGAACAACAATAATAATACATACAGTTGACTAGCTTCAACTCTCAAATTCTAAACATTTAGTTGCGTGGTCAAATCCCTATGAATCTATTTCACTTTAGGTGACCATGTAGTATCTTTTTTCTTCACAAAGTAAGTGGGACTCATAACCTGTTGCGCAAATAATCTGTTCTATATGACTGAGTTCTTACAGAAATATGGAAATATGTAACCATATCGGCATACAAGTATTAAAATGAAAGTTAATATAAAAAAAATATATAAAGTGTTATCTTTTCAATATATTTTATTTAACAGAATGCCTACTGGTTTGAACAATATACATGGGCATTATTCAAAGCACTTTCACATATGCTTTCAATTGGTTATGGACGTTATCCACCAAGTTCACTGCCTGAAGCATGGATCACTATTATTAGTATGATGACAGGGGCTACATGTTATGCATTATTTGTTGGTCATGCTGCTGCACTGATACAATCTTTTGATGCTTCAAAGAGAAAATATCGTGAAATGGTAAGTTTAGACAGATTCATTTTGCTATTCCTTGTTTTCTGAGTGAAACATACTCACTGATTATTTAAACTTTAATGTTTCAAAAGAATGCTTACTGAACAAAGAATGCTCTTTTCGATAACCTCTTCATCAGCAGGTTCTATAGTCATATATACACTATACTAAATGGATGAATTGGTGTTGTGGACAACATTCTAAATGTCTAAATGAGGATTTTTTCTACATTAATTCTTGAATAACATCAGATCAATAGTATTAATGGATTACAGTTCAATGGCATCAGCATAACAATACACGGAATATTAGACAAATTAAAAAAATAATGATACAAAATCATGAATTTATAGTCTCCACTGAAGGTCAGCCAGGACAGTAGTTGTGGCTGGCTTGACTTGCTTCTTTTGAACACAAAGCACTGGTTGTTTCACACGAATCACGATAGCCTCTGCTGTTTTGAGCATGAGGTACCTCTCTGTTTTTGGCAATTTATTTGGTGCCCGGTAGATGATAGAGAAGGATTCCTCAAAGCCGGCCTTGTGGCCGGTTCGGACCAGAAGATTTAATATCAAACTGTTAATGGTCTTAACTACACCTTTAATTATCCATACTAGGAGATGTTCTCGAGCACGAAAAATCAATTCCTAGAGCAACGGCTGATATAACTCGTTCCACAAATGCAGTTAAATTTGCAGGTACAATTGGAAGTGACTCGTTTAGGTACTTCATCTATCAATCGAGGAATAAATATCGGTCGTGTAGAGAATAAGACGTATAGTTCACCAGCATTAAAAGTTCTTTGAACTGATTGTCTTGATTTTTTCGTAATTATTTCGCTTGGAACGTCTCTCTTGAATTGCATTCGTATATATATAAAGGCTTCCTGTTTACGCAAAAAAGTGTATCCCTTTTCCGCTTTCTTTGTCATGTGTTTCTTGATAAATTGGTCGGGATAGCTATTTTTGATCAAGGTATCACATACAATGCTTAATTCATCTTCAGTTACTTCTTCTGAGCATATAGCTCTAACCCTATGGCTGAGGGTCTTCATTAAATTTCTTTTGTACTTGATAGGAATGAAGCTGTGAAAATATGTAAATTGTCCTGTCCATGCACTTTTCCTATGGGAATTCCTTTTTTGCTACCATCTGGTTTTTTTGTAATGACGAGTACTCTTTGTACAGTAACCATTCTTTTGAAAATTTTAATGGGCATATTAATTCAGTTTTATTGTTTCAGCTAACGTTTTGAAGAGAGTTGACCTAGATTCAAACACAGGCTCTTCATGTGACTGGTGAAAGCCCTGTTACTGAAACACCGATACACAATCGTTGGGATAATCTTATCGTCTAACACTTTACACGAAAAACATTTTGATATAGCCGAAATATTCATCCAGACATTGAGAAAAAAAATTGAGTATGGATAAACTTTCTAATTTCCCCTCCTCGATGTATAGTTACCAGTTTGGTTGCTCCTGTGGAGCCATGTAGCTGCTTGGGGTACAGTTAAGCGTGTTTATTGTTGGTTCTCTGAACACCAGCCTGAAAAGTGTCTAAGTAAGGGACAATAGAAATTCATTCCTAGGTCTATTCAGTCTTGTGAGTAGAGAAGGCGAGATTGATGTTAACAAGGCAATTTTCAGAGTCATCTACCGCATACTAACTAATCTTAGTCTAACCATAACAGTTCGTCTACTACATATTATTGAGGCTTTTGTGATCTACATTAAGGAACCTAAATTACGTATGTATTCAAAAGAAGTTGGTTCAGACACTGTACATACTTACCTTGACCATCAAGGTTTTAATGATCCTTAATTCGTTATGGAAATTCCCTGAATTTTATTTGATATTCCGTTTGCTATAACATGCTTATGCTTATTATAACTTAAACGTCTTTCGTGACCTGTAATTTCAATGACCTTAGCAAATCAATGGCATTTAAAAACCACCAATATTGTTGCGAACATCGCTCTGTGTAGTTAAATAAAGGACAAGCAAAATCCATTCATATTGCTATTCTATCTCATCTTATGGATACAGAACACAAAATTGATGTCAACGAGGTGGCTTTCAAAGTCATTTACAGCATACTAATAAATCTCAATTTCGCCTTAAGAGTTCGATTACTACATATTGCTGAGGCTGACAGTTAGGACCCACATAAAGGAGCCTAATTTGTGCATCCGAAAGAACTTAGTTCTGACATTTTCATTACCTTGGACATTTAGATTTGAAAGATACTCAATTTTTGTGGAACTTTCCAAATTTTAGTTGATATTCTATTCGCTACTATATCTTTATTATTATTAATGTAATTCCTTTGTGATCTTACTTTACAAATTGATATTATTTTAAAAAAACACTCATATTGTTATTGACTACTAATCTAGAATATTCTATGTATGTAAGCATGCATATATAATTGTAGAGCCAGAAGAGGAATTTATCGAAAAGGGGATATTCTTTACTCAGTTGGTTTTTCTAAAAACCGTTTTGGTTATCATTAAAGAGTGAGAGATGAGTTATATGACTCAGAAGTCTATAAAGCACTAGCTATAATTACAAATACTTTTGTAGCTTGTATAAATTTTCGATAGTTAGTTTGTAGAGATCTGAATTTGTTTCAGGTTTGACTACTAACTGACACCAATTAGAGAACTACTGATAACCATGGAGTACTGGATAGCTTTTTCTTCCAGATGGAGTCGTGTGTGCCTACTACCGATGAGTCCCTAGTTCTTGGAAATTAATCTGATGCTCATTAGTGACTGGATATGGGACGAAGTTTCCTGGAGTTCTAGTGAGAACTAGTAATCAGTGGAGTCCACCAGGAGGTTGGAAGTGAGGACGAATACTCACGGACGACATCAGCTGCTGGCAGCCCCGTTACGACCACGAACTGGTAGAAGTCAGAATTCATGGGCCGACGTGTCACACCCTAGTTGTTGAATGGTCCACGAGCATGACTTGTAACCGGAAGGATCTGAGTTCAAAAACTGGTGAGTGCATAGAGCTGATGGATCCGAAACTAGGAATAAAACAGCTGGCTGTTTAGTACTTCCTGGTTTTCAATGGTTCTTTAGCCAATAATAATCCATAGTCAAGCATTTATAAAGCTGAAACTTGGTGAAATTGTGGTAGAGTAAGTATAGAAAGTCAATGACTCACCTAGAATAGTGAAGTAGCAAAACATTTGTGTTTTTAAGGTTAGGTTTAACCGCAGTTCCAATCATAATTTCCAAAATCCCACTACGATCTAAATTACTTTATAAAAGAAGCATTCAGCCAAGAGAGAAATGGAAGTCATCCTCTCTCTCTTCGATGAGATGGTGTGTTTGCTTTTATCTTTAGATAAACCTGGGGATATTTTATGTTATCTTCTCACTGGTATTTTCAATGTCTCTTTCCACTAACATTGTACTTGCTACTTAGAAGGATATTAAAATTGTTTTGGTGCCTAAATCATCAAGTGAATCAAATGTTAAATCTAGACCTAGTTTTATTACCTCACCATTTTGTAAAATAATGCAGGAACTTAATATACTTAATCTGGAACCTTCATTGAAGGCTTTCAATGATCCTAAACTATTAGCTTATAGACAAAGTCAGTGTACTTTAGGTATCACCGTCGTCTTACATAATAATATTGTCTACAATTTAGACAAGGGTGTGAAATATGTTCGGTGTACTCTGTATGTAGGCCTCTTTTGTTGGACAAGCTTGCTGTGAAACAAGTTGACAAAGCCAATTTTACTAAGTATGAGGATAATCTGACTGTTTCCATGCCGGTTACTATTAAATCAGATTTTTTCGAAATGAATAACTTCCTGTTAGAAGTTAGTTGGTGGTCTTTGTCAAATGGTGTGAAGTTAAACCCTCCAAATGCTAGCTTGCTGTTCCACTTGTCGATACAAGCGTGATTCACATGGACTGGTTGGTGAACATGATTCTACTGTCACAGATAGCAGTGAAGTTGAAACCATGTCAAATGACAAATATGTCGGATATTATATTTTCACTAATCTTCTTTTCTCTTCTTCCCACATCATTTCAGTTTTTAGAAAGATGTTTCGTTTGACGTTCTACATGAGGAAGTTGAGAGAATCTGATATCACTCAGTTTCTAGAATTACGGTTTATTGACTCGTACAGGCTATCTAACTATCTACCTTTACTTCTCTATTGTTCCCCAACTCAATCCTTCCTGGTCTACTTAAGGCTGACCTGGTTTCACTGAGAAGGGTACTGAAAGCTGGGGTGTCACTAGATCAGGCTTTCAGTACTGTTGTAGACAAACACATGGACTCATATGGGAAACTAGGTGGGGGGGAATTAACTTGTCGGACGCTCATCGTCCTGCCGACACAACTGCCTACTTACATATTATCAGGTGTGACTAGAATTGATTATAGACGACCTAATGCTCGGATGAATAGGTATAAACATTCTGTAATACCTTAGTTGGCACACTTTTGATGTGATATGAGTGAAGTGTGAGGCATAAGACCACTAAATTACTGAGAAACACTGATTGCATGGCTATTTTTGTTCCTTCCTTCCTTCCTTATGATACTGTTCTAAACCTTTTCAATGAAACTTGAATTTTATATTCATATTCTTTCTACACAATATTATTAATGTAAATACCTCTGTTTAAATTATCGGTGGGAAAATTGAATCCTATACTGTGCTACACGCTGAAAATTTCATATTCGTATGCAAATTACTGTCTGCAATAAACACTTTAATTTTATCCCATGTATATGGTAGTGTTTCATGGCAATGAAAACTGTTTTGATAAACGTGTCATTAAAACCACGGGTAGTACAGCGGTTAGGTAGCTCACCGACTATGCACATGGTCAAGGGTTCGATCCTTGGTCGACGCACACTTGATATCAGTGGGCGGACTGTTAAATTTGGACTACTGATATCAACAGCTGAAAATTCCATTGCTGTACCAAAATACGGTGTGGAATCAGGCGACAATAAAAAAAACC